AAAAGGGGCTACAGTCCTAAAGGTTTTCAAGCAAGATTTTTGGTTCCCTGTCACAGAATCCTCCACTGTGGGGCAAGAGTGGTGGAAGTAAATAGAATTCTACATTTAAAAAAATGCAAATAAAACAAGGTTCAAAGCATTCTTTCATTTGCAGTGCTTAGAAATAATTTATCTCACACTAACTCAGCTTACAGTTACCCCAGATCTCCAGATGACCTCTCCCAGCAGGTTTACATAGGTGTTGAACAGTATGGGGGACATGATGGAAACATGTAGAACCCCCAAGTGCAAGGAGTGGAGCAGCAGTCCCCCAGTACCACGTAGGACCAAAGTGACCACAGAATAGTGCCTCCAAATGCTAGCAGTGAAGGGCAGTCCAGAAGAATACCATGATCAGTTATATTATATCCAAAGCTTCTGAGAGCTCCAGGAGAATTAACATGGGCTGGTTCTGCATCTGGCATTCGATCCCCATTTTCTCAACACTGAGGAAAAGGTGCAGTTCAAAACCAAATTCAAATACCCTGGGCCAACTGACTGCAAAGTCACCCCAAACGGCCATAAATCTATGCAGAAAGTACATAAAACTGAAAAGTACTGGGTTCGCCGCATGGAGGACTCGGACGACGACATACTGTAGCACACGTTTATTGTACTTAACACAGACAAAGACTAACTCTAACGGCCAACAGGGCCAACTATATACATATCCACACAGCAACCCCCCACTCCCATTGGAGGGTTTGAATGTCCCGCCAAGGTGGCTATTGGTTGGAGCTGGGGGATCCAGGATCCGAAGTTTCCATTGTTCTAGGATCCAAGCTCTGGCCTGTCCACGGACCCCTGGTGGCAGTCCACGTACATAACACACCTGATGATCAAAGTGGCACGCAGTGTAATGTTCCCTGAGTTAGTGTGAGCTAGCTCATAGCTTTTTAGCCTCCGCCTCAAACATTTCTGTCTCAGCTCAGGAAGGATGGCTCCAGAGCAAACTAACTTATGCAGTAGCCAAATCACTCGCTCACAACGTTAATGCCAGTAGCTCACAAAGTAGAATTTTGCTCACAAGACTTAGAGGGAGCATTGGTGTAGAGGGTACCATAAAATCCAGTGATCAACAAAAGTGAAAGCAGCATGCAATACAGAGGAGAATCTCTGTTCCAATGTGGGTTTGCTAGAACAACGGAAGGAAAAGCCAATGCAGAATCACTCATGGTCGCACTCCCATTGTCCATCTCCTGGCAAATGATATGTCTCTGCCTAAGTATGTAAAGAATTTCTACTTTGCTGTGTGAATGCTGGGTTTTACTCTTTCTAAATGCTTGGAGGGGGAGCTCCACTTGTCCATTCAAGTAGTCTGTTCACAAGGAAGTTAGTTTCCCTTTCTGCTTTTTTTTTTGTTTCCAATATACAGAAAAGGGGAAATAAAATAATCTGTAGGCCAATGAAGGAGCTCAGGCCCAGTAACATACATAGTGGGAGAAGTCCTGCCCTCATATATTTTGAAAATGGGAGTTGTGGGGGAAAGGAGCTCTCCGCTTATAAGGGAGGGGGAGGCAACCATGTTTTAGGGAGCTCAGGAGAAACCATGCTTTGAGGCATAAGCAGCCATTCAAGAAAGCAGTCATCCACTGGCACGTGACTTAGTGAGAGATAACTAGCCAGATGAAAAGAAGGTACCTGAGTTATTTTAATGGGACAATAATCCTGGACCCAATAAGAGAAAATTGCCTATTTAAGGCTGCGGTCACACAGAGACTTAGCCATACTACAGAGATGGAAGATAGGCGGATATTCCGGGCGCGATCAAACAGCAACATCTGGGAAGCGTAGAGCTCCCATGGTGAACCTGAGGCTTCCTGCCGAAGATGCGCCGTAAAAAACTAGTACCTCCGAGGTACTATTTTCCGGAAACCGCGGGGCAACGGCGGGCGTCTGATCACGTTTCCAGTGGTAGCTCATGGCATCCGGCGCCCGCCCATGTCCCGTCGCGAAAAGGTGTTTTTTTCCAAGTATCCACGGGATGCGCACAAGCACCCAATGGCGCATGCGCACACTTCGGTTTAAAAAACACAACCCCCACCATGCCGCTTCTTTGCCGCGCCGCAGGATTGACGTATGATCGGCACCTTCCCCCGAACCACGGGACGTTGGCGGGATGTCTGATCCAGCGACCGCGTGGTAGTTCGCTCCAGGGCAAACAGCCACGCCTCCCCCGCGCGCGCGATAACCGGCCCGTGTGACCGGGACTATTCATCATGGAGATAAGTCCAAAATAGGGGAGAAAGGGTGTATGTTAACATATTTCTTTTTCCTAGGCTGAGATGCTGTAGTAGTGTGGTCCTATCAGCTGTTTGTCTTTTGTGTATTGCCATAACCTTTAAAGTTTTAATTCTTTTTTTCTGAATTTGGAATCCTTTGGTCTCTGCGCCCACAAAAACCTCACTCATGCTTAACAGAATATCAGAGAGAACACCTGCTCAGTGGCATACATCTCCAAACAGTGGTGATTTCAACAATTTTCCCTTCCATCCATGTTGGCCAAGGCAAGAGACTCAAATGTTTTAAAAGGAGTCTAATCTCGGGCTGTTAAATCTGCAAATATAATTGTGGCCTGTGGTGGAAGCAGTGAGCTAAGAGAAGTGATGAACTTCTCCTTGGGGTCTAGCAACTTGAGATTCATGCTAGCAGTGTAACTTCCTCATTCCCAGTAGCCAAACAAGGGTGCTTTATTAAAGAAAACTGATCTCCCTAATCACAAGCTCATGTTTTCCCCCTACGGCTCCAGGTTTTCTTTTGGGGGGGGGAGTGTGGGGAGAACCCTAGATTCACAATAACAGAGCGAGATTCCAGTGTTGGTAGATTCCAAATTCAGAATCTTCCAATGATGGAGGTGGCCTGTTTCTGAATGAGAGCTCCTTAAAGACACATAGCTGAAGCAGCTCTTACTCTTTGCTGTGGGAAAGAAGGGAGTGCCAGATCTTATGGTGCTCTTGGGTGCTATGCTGGGGAATGCTGGGTCAGTGTGTCAGACTAGTCTAGTGGTGGCGAACCTATGGCACGGGTGCCAGAGGTGGCACTCAGAGCCCTCTCTGTGGGCACGCGTGCCACGCCCCAGCCAGGCCCAGACCACTATTAAAGTGTCGAATTCTCTGCCAAATAATTTTAAGTAAATGAAAGCATTTGGGATTGCTTTCCTTACTTTGTTTGGATCATCTTAAGTTAATGTATGAGTTGTTTTTTCTAAAGTAAAACTTCAGTATTCAGGTTAAATTGCCATGTTGGCGCTTTGCGATAAATAAGTGGGTTTGGGGTCGCAGTTTGGGCACTCAGTCTCGAAAAGGTTCGCCATCACTGGACTAGGATCTGAGAGACCCAGGTTCTAATCCTACGTGTCAAGAAAAATTCACTGGGCAATCTTTTTTTTTAAAAAAACATTTTATTATCAGAGGATATATCAACATGTCCAATATTATAGCGTTCCATCTTTCACAATATACCCCTTTTCCTTTCCCCCCTCCCTCCCCTTCTTCAGGCTTCCCACAGTGATCCCACCCCCACCAAATCTCTTTTTCTTATCCATCCCTTCCTCTAAAACAAAACTTAATAGGTAACAGTTCCTTTAACTACCTTATTCTTATAATCAACTTCATAGGTAACATTTTCTTTAACTATAATCATCTTCTAAACTCTTTCCTCATTCTATTCTTAATAGTTATCAAAGCAAAACAAATTGTTCTTAACATCCCAATGTTTCTCTAAATATTCTTTAAAGTCCATCCAATCTGCAAAGAATTCACTGGGCATTCTTGAGTCAGCCATACTCCCTCTGCTTAACCTACCTCACAGGGTTGTGAGGATATTGTGGGAGGAGCCTACAATGGACAGAAAAGCAGGGTATAATTCTCTAAGTGACTAGATCTAATGTAAAATAAACTCTGTTTGGTCAAAAGCACAATTAAGACACAGAAGTTGATTGAGGTCCATACAGAAGGCAACAAATCCAGCACAGGCAGGTTTTATTGATTTACTTGCCTGCTGAGATGCAACATGGATTGTTAAAGTATACCCAAAAAATTCACAAAAAAATCACATTTGTCTTCAACTGGGGAAAAAAGAGGTGCACTACCTGCCTCTTATGAAAGCCAGTGTGGTGTTATGCTTTAATTGTTGAACTAGGCTCCGGGAGGATCCTCCCAGGTTCCACTCCCCAGTCTGCAACATACTCTCATCCGTGGGGGGGTGGGGAGATGGAAGCTGCTTTGCTGGGAAGAAAGGTAAAGGTAAAGGTTCCCTTGCTCGAAAGCCAGTCGAATCCGACTCTAGGGTTGCGGTGCTCATCTCCGTTTCAAAGCCGAAGAGCCAGCGCTGTCCGAAGACGTTTCAGTGGTCATGTGGCCGGCATGACTAAACACCAAGGCGCATGGAGCTGTTACCTTCCCACCGAAGTGGTACCTATTTATCTACTTGCAATGTCTTGCTTTCGAACTGCTAGGTTGGCAGGAGCTAGAACTAGAGACAGGAGCTCACCCCATCTTGCGGCACCGGGGTCTTGAACTGCTGAACTACTGACCTTTCACAGCCTGCAGTTCAGCCTCTTAACCACTTGAGCCACCGCAGCTCCTGCTGAGAAGAAAAGTCGGATATAAATAAAGAAAAATAAATAAACATTAAAGTAGATGTTATCTTGTTTACAAACACAGCATCAACCTCGCCACTGATAACAGCCGCTCCACACACGCATTCGCATTATTATTATTATTATTAGCTGTCAGTTCCTCCTTGCGCCAAGCACGTGCCTGTTGTGCCAATTAAAGGGCTGGAACCGCCGGCCCCAATATTCTCCACCGCCATAACTCGCAGCCGGGGAGGGAAGATCCAAGCGTTCCGTGCACCGCCCTTCCCGAGTCCTGATTGGGCGGAGCAACTCAGCCCTCGCCCCCTCCGAGAACTCCGCCGCCCAATCAGAGCCAGGGTTGGATTTTCCGCTCTCCGTTCCTGTTCGTTTGCACCGCTGCAGCATCAAAGGAACGAGTCGGATTATCCAGCGTTAATTTCAGCGCGGTAAGGCCATTTGCGGTGTGCGTGCGAATGCGTGTGCGTTCTTAATACGGACAAACAGGGAAGGCGCTGGAATGCAACGGAGGGAGGGGGGAGGGAACTTTCTCTCTCTGATGGACTCAGCAAAGGCGCTAGATTGCATGGTGTTTATTAAGACAGTGGTGCTCTGTAATGGGGGGGGGGGTGCAATAGTGATAGGGCTTCTGGAGTTCGGATCCCGCTGGTGGATCTCCTGATGGCACCTGGGTTTTGGCCATTGTGTGACACAGTGTTGGACATGATGGGCCATTGGTCTGATCCAACATGGCCTCTCTTATGTTCTTAACAGGGAAGGGAGAGGGGTGCTGATGTTATTGTGAATCCAGGGTTCTCCCCACCCCCCAAAAAAACAACCCCAAAAACCTGGAGCCCTAGAGGGCAAAGATGAGCTCGCGATTAGGGAGGCCAGTTTTCTTTAATAAAGCAGCCGATCCAATCTCTAACCCTCACTCACTCGCAGGCTTGTAGTTTCTCTGGCTGTCAAAACAAATCATTACATATGATCTGTCTTGCTACTGATTTCTTGGGGGGGGCGGCAGGCAGAGGATTAACGAAATGAGGCCACAGCGAGAAAGAAAGAAAAAACGCGCATTCTTTGCGGAGCACTGGCGGCGTTTTAAACTTTCCAGCGATGTGTAAAAAAGAAGAAGTTCATCCTCGTTATTTAGACATTGCCCACATGGGATCTGCGCAGCCGCAGGCCAGCCACCGGAAGGTTTTTTTCTTAGCTTAGTTACCGAGTGGGAGGAGCCCCTCCCAACTGGAGAATCGTAACCGTTTCCCGCCTAACGGTCACGTGATCCAGGGGGGGCTCCGCACACTCCCTCAGTTCTTCTTTCGCCGCCGCTGATAAAGGTTGTTTCTATACCAGCTAGTGTTTTTTACCTCAGGAATCCTGTCACAATGTCACCATTCAAAAAATGTCGTAAATGTTCGACTAAGATGACAATATCAGATGATCATGACCTGTGTGTATTGTGTTTAGGAGAAACTCACAATACCTCTTCATGTCCTAAATGTAAGAAATTTACCGCAAAGGCCAGATCTGACAGGTCAGCCCGCCTGAAGGCAGCGCTATGGGAAAAGGCGCTATCAGCCTCTAATATCCCGGCAGCAACTTCATCTGCCGAGGTTAATCAAAACGATGTGGTAGCTCAAACACCACGCTCTAATCGTGGCTCAAGAGCACCTTCAGTTATATCATCCCATTCAGTATCACGATCAGATCCAAGTCGTAAAAGAATGGCGTCTCCCCCCTCAGTCCCGAGTAGATCTACTTCAGAACCCCAGTGTTGCACTTACCGTAACTGTTGTTCATCCAGTTGTCCTGTGCAGGCACACATCCCTCCCTCCAGCCCCGCATGAGCCAAGAAAATTAAACTAACCTATATGATTTGCATACTTCTTCGGAGGCTCAGCGGCGGACTCAGGAGAACTGAGGGAGTGTGCGGAGCCCCCCCTGGATCACGTGACCGTTAGGCGGGAAACGGTTACGATTCTCCAGTTGGGAGGGGCTCCTCCCACTCGGTAACTAAGCTAAGAAAAAAACCTTCCGGTGGCTGGCCTGCGGCTGCGCAGATCCCATGTGTGCCTGCACAGGACAACTGGATGAACAACAGTTACGGTAAGTGCAACACTGTTTTCCTCCTCGTTATTTAGACATTGAACGCTTTAGATCGCCGTTGTCTCTTTTTTTTCTCCGCGGCCAAGATCGGGCCGCTTTCGTGCAGGGGGAGAGGAGGGTCGCTGGCACTTCCCTGCCCGCAATATGTCTCCATCCGCTCCCGAGCTAGTCCAGCCCGGCTTTCCAAACAAAGAGGTTCTGCTCGCTGGGTTGAGCCTGCCCCGCTCCGCCATCTTTGCAAGCGCCACGGACTTGTGCAGCCAGCGTGGTTTTGGCTTCTGGCCCCGGAACCGCTTCGCTTTTTTTTCCCTTCTCTTTTCCGCATGTGTTTTGTTCCCGGTAGAAGTCGCTTCGATTTTTTTTTAACCTTTTTTTTTTAAGGAGACATTTTAGGCTACCGGGTTTTTCAAGGGGGTTCTGAGTCCGTTTCGGCTCCGTTCGGGGGGAGGGGGGGAGGGAGGAGCCCATCCACGGCTGTCATCCAACCCCCGCCCGGTCTACGGCCCTCCCTTCCCCCAACCCACGTCTTCTTTTATTATCCTTTTTAAAATGACTAGAACTAACGGCAGATTGCAAATGGACGGACTGACATCACCGGTCTTTTAAAAAAATAATAGAACAAACGGACCAATCAGTGTTGCTGGTGTTTTGTTGTTGTTTTTAAATTAAATTAATGCAACTTGTGAGAGAGTGCTAGCAGGAAGGCAATTAATGGTGCCCTAGTCTGTCAAGAGTTTTAAAAATTGTGCAAAACCACACTTGGTTAGCCACCCCCACCTCATCTTCTGCCACAGTTTTGGGTTTTTGTAAAACATGAAGTCTACGGGCCATAGTGTGGTAACAGAAGGAATGTTGCTGCACGGTATGCTTTTATTACTAGGTTATTCATGCGGCTAAACCATGAAGGGGGTTAGCCCACGTTGTGCCTTTTTTATTTTGGATGGATGAATGGATAGAATTTTAAATAGCAAGATAATTGTATATAAGGGATATAAAAGAAAAGAAGGGTTATATAATAATACATAAGGAATACAAAAAGATACATTATAGGGTATGTAAAGTAATAAATTATTCTCCATAACTCCCCTTCATTCTAATTTTAAGACATTTCAAACATGTTGAATTCCAGATTTCATAACTAATCTATTTTCCAACTATATTATTAATTTAATCATTGCTACATAGTCTGTGTTAAATATTTTGTCATTTCTGCTTACTAATTGTTGCTTTTACTATACCAAAGATGAAATGAAAATCTATTACATCTCTCACAGTAAAGAATAGAGGGTATTTTTGATCAAAGATCAATTCATAGAAATCATAGAATCACAGAGTTGGAAGGGGCCGTACAGGCCATCTAGTCCAAACCCCCCCCCCCCTCAATGCAGGATCAGCCTAGCGCATCCCTGACAAGTGTTTGTCCAGCCACTGCTTAAAGACTGCCAGGGAGGGGGAGCTCACCACCTTCCTAGGCAGCTGATTCCACTGTTGCACAACTCTGACTGTAAAAAAATTTCTCCTAATATCCAGCCAGTATTTTCCCGCCATTAATTTAAACTCATTATCGAGAGTCCTATCGTCTGCTGCTAACAGGAAGAGCTCCCTGCCCTTCCCTAAGTGACAGCCCTTCAAATACTTCAAGAGAGCAATCATGTCCCCCCTCAACCTCCTCTCATCCAAACTAGACATTCCCAAGTCCCTCAGCCTTTCCTCATAGGGCTTTCATGTTCAAAGTTTATTCTCATTCTGCTTCTACATTATAATTCATTTATATGCATTGCCAAACAGTTATATACAATTTTAAACTGTTCCTAATTCTAGATTTTAAACTTTTTCTCGTTCTAAGTTTGTCTCCTCATTTCTTGAGTTTCATCGAAGCTGCGCAACTGCTCTGTGTCACAATATTAATAATAAGGTACTAGGAAAAAGGCCCATTGTGGAAATAAATACAATGGCCTCTAGAAAGAGGCTCTGGGCGGGTGCCCCGGCCTTGGACACTCAGTGTTAATTTGCTGTGGCGACCTCAGCAGGGTATAATGACACTGAGTCCACCATTTTCTCCAGAGGAACTGATCTCTGCTACCTAAAGAACAGTTGTAATTTTGAGTGATCTCCAGCCCTCACCTGGAGATTGGCAACGATGGTTCCCCAGAAGGGAATAGTTGGTTTGTAGGGTGAAATCTATGGCTTTGTACCTGTCCGAGGTCCCACGCCTCCTGAAACCTCACCCTCTCCAGGCTCCATCCCTCACATCTCCAAGAATTTCTCACCTGGAGTTGGCAACCCTATCTCCTTCCCAGCCAGTCATCAACCTACCTTTATTTCCCCCTCACTCTTCAGCTTTCCACCCCCCACACACCTGCAGCCTCTCCTGTGCTCTGAAGCCCTGACTGCTACGTCACATTGGCTGTCATATGGGGGCCATCTCAGCAGCATATAAGGATACAGAGCCCACCATTTTCTCCAGGGGAACTGATCTCTGCCATCTGGAAACCAGTTGTAATTCTGAGTGATCTCCAGCCCTCACCTGGAGATTGGACACATTTTACCTCAGAACAGCAAACTGTTTAGAATGTTAGAAGCAAAAGCCAATCAAGTCGCATATGCAAACGACCTCTGTGTTCCAAGGCAAAGGCCAATGAGGCTGCATATGCAAATAACCTCTGTGTTCTGACTGGCTATGGGAGGGAGAGGAACAGCAAACTGTTTAGAATGCTGGAGGCGAGACTCAAGCAATGCAGCCAGTGGATAGGGACAGATTCTGAGTGACACACCAGAACGCCAACCAATTCCAGAGCATGTGGAATGTTCTAGAGAAGTGCCACCAACATTCAACTTTTATTTATAAGGGAGATGTGTATTGAGCACCTTTTTGCCACAGGCTGCTTCTATTTGACGGTACTACTAATTGAAATTGTTTCACTTCACATGTTATTTAAAATGGTGCTGGTTAGCCCATGATTGGGAGCCATTTTGTTTAGCATTCTCCTCTCCAATAGAGAAAAATGGCAACTTTTCCCTTTGGGCATTAATTGGCTTGTCATCAAACAAACAATTGCCTCATGGCCGGTGTTCATCCAGTCCTTGGAGCGGGGGTGACCTATCCACATCAACAGGAATACAAGAAGGTTTCAACATACAATAACCTAAGGGACCGCCTTTCCCCGCATGTTCCCCCAAGGGCACTGTGGTCGGGGAGCCAAAACCTCCTGGATATCCCAGGACCATCAAACTTGCTGTGACCAGGGCCAGGGCATTCTCGGTGGCGGCTCCTACCTGGTGGAATGCGCTCCCAGAAGAGATCAAGGCCCTGCAGGACCTTGTGCAGTTCCACAGGGCCTGCAAAACGGAGCTCTTCCGCCAGGCTTTCGAGTAGGAGCCGCCGCCACCATTATTCCACCAACGCTTTTTCCATCACCGCACTCTACCACCGCCGGTGCGGGTATCGTCGGGGGTGCAAGACGTCCCTGGCGGATGACAGGGTTGTAAGGACATATACTGCTGTTGTTCTGTTATAACATCTTCAGAACACCATCTTGGTTTTATGATTCGGAGTGAGTATTGGAGCATCGATATTTTTAATAACTGTATTATGTTGTATTATTGTATTTTTATACTGTTCTTATTGTTTTAATCTGGCATTTATGCCCTTGTTAGCCGCCCTGAGCCTTTGGGGAGGGCGGGATACAAATCTAAAGAATAAATAAATAAAAATAAACAACTCTGGCTGTGGGTGGTAACACTGAACACAGGGAATGAATGCTTTATAAGCTGCTGAGAAGTATCGTTTTCAGATTCTGACTCTCCTGTTTTGTGCAGTGCTTGCGTGATGCATGATGGCTGACAAGAAGGGAAATGGCGGCCGTGGAGTCTCCTGGCGTGAGCGGGAGACGCTGGATCTGCTCTCCATTTGGGGTGAGGAGGAGGTGCAGGAGGCCTTGGGTATCTCACATCGAAACATAGACATCTTTGAGAAGATTGCCGAGCAGATGGCGGCCAAGGGACACAAGCGCACTGCGGTGGAGTGCCGCACGAAAACCAAAGCCCTGCGACAGGAATACAAGAAGGTTTCAACGCACAATAACCAATCCAGCTACTCCCTGGCAACCTGCCCTTTCTACAACGAGCTCCACCGCATTCTCCGAGAGGATGCCCGCATTAGGCCAAAGCGCGTGCCCAGACGCCTTAATCTGCACGCAGTGGAAGAGGTGCAGATACCAAGCATGGAGGACGTGAGTGGATCGGAGATGCTATCCGGTCACAATGTACTGACCATCAAACATGAAGACATACGGTGTTCCACACCCACAGATATGGGTAAGTGTAGCTACTGTGCCACGTGTTTATATTTCATCGTCCTTTCCCCCCTGGGGGTGCATTTTCAGAGGTTATCATTTTCAGGTGTCTTCCCCCCCCCAAATCTTCCAGGCACCGGTGAGGCTTTCCCAAACATCGCAGAGAGCAGCCTAGTTTTGGAAGAACAGCTGGATGAGACCGGGGTCACAGGCAACATGCAGCAAGGTTAGTGTGTATTCTTATGTTGCTGGGAGGGGGGACTTTCGGCTCGCACTCCTATCTCTTGTTTTTGTATGTCTCCCCCCCCCTCAAGAGGGTGCTTGAAGCACCTTCCCCAGAAGCTGCACGTTAATGTTGGGGGGGGGGTGCCCCTTAGCTGTCCCTACCATAAACAGCTCTTTGATAGGCCAGAAAGGTGTGTTTTCCTGGCTCTTCCCTTCTGCGGAGCAGTTTTGCCTGCCTCCAATTGACAGAGAAACCCTAGTGAGGAACAGGGAATCACAAAAACTGAACACTGATGGTTATACGGATTGTTCCCTGTGATGGCTACAGAGGTTGTTCCCTATTTCCCCAAAGTTTTAAAATACGTTCAAAACCACCCTCCGTTATCATTTCCCCTTGCTCCTTCCTCTATCGCCTTTCCCCTTGTATTTGCCCCAACACTACCTCTTTTTTTAATTTTTAAAAGTAAAAGAACTGTGCCAAGAGAAACCTGATTAATACTAATAAATACTAATACTTTCCATTTATTAATCGCTTTCCCCAGTGGGCTCAAAGTGATGTACAGTTACTCAGTATAGACAGGGGACTAACAATGTTTGTAGGGGATAGGGAAGACAACATATATTCATTTTTAATTGCATACGCCGTCACTGCCCAGTATAGACGTCTTCTGGCTTGGCTCCGTCGTTTTCCGCACGGCTGCTTGTTGGCCAGGCTTAAGGACCCGTATGTCAATTGCCACACAGCCACCGCCTGGCCGGAACATCCATTGCAGGGATTCTTTCGTAGCCCAGAAGCTGTTTCGCATTCCAAGCCTCGACCAGGACGTCCGACCATCAGCTAACACCCTCCCACAAGGGAGATTGGCGTGCCCACCCTCTCTAAGGAGTGGCTCCCATTTTATCTACTCGCCAAAGCTTTCGAATCGCTGGGTGGACGATGAGCTGGGGACAACAGGCTGGCTGCTCACACCAGCGCGGGGCTTGAACCAACACAGTTCAGATGTTAAGACAGTGGGATATACCCACTGTGCCACCGCCCCCCTTAGCGGCACCCCTATTTTTCCTAAATTTAAAAGTTTGCTTCAAACCATGCTGCATTACAGCACTCCGTTCTCAGTCACCTTCCCCCTCCTCTCCACCTCATGCTGCCTGTTTTTCTATAAAAAAAAACCCCACTATAATGAAAGAACTAGCAGTAGTGCACTATCGGAAACCTGACTGGCAGCACCTCTATTTTTCCAAAGTTTAAAAATTTTGTCCCCATTACAGTTTGGGGATCCCCAAGCACCTCATTTGAGCACACGATTCAGGAAGGTATCACAGGCTTTCTTTCCCTGGGTTGATCATGTTTTCTTTACCATTTAGGGGACATTGCTGCATCTGGAGACCAAGCGGCCCTGCCCGAAGGACTCAAGGTGCAACCCTCCACTCCCACTTCTGAAGAGCAAGGTAATACATGCTAGGTCTTGTTGTTACGATGTTTGAAGTGCTCCATGCTAGGTATTCTTGTTATGATTGAGGCGCTCCCTTTACCAGTAAGATCTATGGATTTTCCACGTTTTCATTTTCCTTGCTTGTGTGCTCCTGTTGCTTGGGGGAGGGGGTTCTGTTCCACCCGTTTTGCTCCCTCTAGTGGCTAATTCAATATTACATCACGTTATGTCCAGCATATCTCCTTGCAAATTTAAACTTCTTTCAGAGCTGTTTTCTCAAGGGGAGGGGTATAAACTCAATCTATTCTTCTCTCTCCTTCTTCTTCTGTTCTGCACTTGTTTTTGCTCCTTCTAGGGATTTTGGGTCAGCCCTATCTACAGCTTGGGTCGGCCCCTATTTTTATGGCCTGGGCCTGAGATCCTAAACTGTACAGATTTCTGAGAAATTTATTCCCAGCCCTATCAGCCACTGAGGCAATTGGCTTTTTATAAGAGTTGTATATTTTATATGTTTTAACATGGTTTAAATTGTACTGTATTGATATCGTTGTACTATATTTATATTGTTGGGACCCGCCCTGAGCCCGTTAAGGGGAGGGCGGGATACAAATCCAATAAATAAATAAATAAAATGAATATCACATCGTTTTAGAACTGGCATAAAAACCTGCAGTTTAAATTTTGCAGGGAGATAGGCTGGACATAAAGTGAAGCAACAGGAACACACAAGCAAGGAAGACCACAATGCGGAAAAGCCTTGAGTGTCTGTAATTCAGACAGGCCCGTAGGTACAGTGGGGCATTTTGGGGCTCCGCCCCCTCAAACGTGAGTCACACCCCGCAGCTGCTGCCCCTCCCCCCATCCTCCCTCCCCTCCTGTGACATTAAAAGGTCCCTCCAGCTGATTGGCGGGAGCATGTGGCCCGCCAGTCAGCTGGAGGGCCCTTTAAATCTTGCAGGAAGGGAGGGAGAGGGGCGGCCGCATGACTTCCCTGAACTCCAAGCAGCAATTTCACCACTCGGGAGTTCAGGCACGGGCAGCCCCCGCTTGAAATTTTTAAAAAAGGGTTCCCTTTAAACGGTGTTTTTCAAGCGGGGGCTGCTCGTGCCTGAACTCCTGAGTGGCGAAATCGCAGCTTGGCGTTCAGGGAAGGCATGCGGCCGCCCCTCCCCTGCTGCCCCACAAAACCTCCCCATGCCCCACCAACCTGACATTTCTGGCTACGGGGCTGAATTCAGCCCAGTGTCTCCAGGATTCCCTGTATCGTTTTTTTTATGCTCGTCAGCAGAGAGAGGGCCGCCCTTTTTGGCTGTGATACCAGATGCATAGAACTGGCACATGGCGAACTGTGGTGGCCATTAAACCGGAGCCTGCTTTGGGAGACTCCCGTCAGCAGTGACATTCGCCGCTGCTTCGGGGGCAGGGGGGGTTGGCTCCTGTTCCTCCAGTGCTCCCTCTAAGACCTGTGGAGTCTTGTGAGCAAAAATTCTACTTTTGTGAGCTACCGGCATTAAAGTTGCGAGCGAGCGATTTGGCTCCTGCATAAATTAGTCTGCTCTGGAGCCCTCCTTCCTGAGCTAAGGCAAAAATGTGTGAGCCGGGGGCTAAAAAACTGTGAGCTAGCTCACACTGATTCAGCTTAGGGGGAACACTGGTTTCCTCTCAAGCTGCCCAACACCAGACAGTGGTTGTAACCAGTGTTCCCTCTATGCTGGGTTAGTGTGAACTAGGTCACAGTTTTTTAGCCTTTGGCTCACACCAGGGGTCGTTTCGTAGAAAAAGAGCTAGGGGAACTCATTAGCATAACTCATTAGCATATGCCACACACCCTGACATCGGGCCCGGCGGTGGACCTGCAAGGCCGGCGGGAGTGCGAGGAAGCCCCACCAAGGCCCTCCCCGGCCCCAGGCAGGCAGGGGTGGGGAGAGGCGGGGAGGAAGCAACTTACCCTCCCTCTTCTCCTGCCTCCTCCTGGCTGAATGAGGGCCGGAAGCCAGGCGGCTGGAAGCAAGGGGCGGGGCTTCATCGTGTGCCCCGCCCCCCGCACCTCACCCGGGGGAACTGCGATCCCCCTCGAATCAACCTCTGGCTCACACATTTTTGCCTTAGCTTAGGGAGCATGGCTCCAGAGCAAACTCATTTATGCAGCAGCCAAATCGCTCGCTCACAACTTTAATGGCAGTATCTCAAAAAGTAGAATTTTTGCTCACAAGACTCCACAGCTTAGAAGGGAGCATTGGTTGTAACCTGAGAGCCTGGAGATCCACTGCCAATCCGTGTAGACAATACTGACCTTGACGGAACAAGGGCCTGGTTCGGTATAAGGCAGCATCATGTGTTCGTGCGCAGGACGGAGAAACCAGCTTCCTACTAAACAGCCGTGATTTTGGGCACTCATCGGAAGACGATCTCATTTTAGGTGAGCCCTCAGGCGCGGAGCAGGAGAGGCCCGTGATGATGTTGTCGCCTGCCACGCGGCTGACCAACGCGAGGTACCGCAAGAGGCGTTTTTCTTTGCTGAACGACGTCGCTCACCAGATGCTGCGCCAGTGCGAAAACGAGGAAGCCAACGCCAACTGGCGCCACAAGGAGCTGATGGTACAAAACAGACGGCACCACGAGGAGATGATGGCCGAAGACAGACGCCGTCATAACCAGATGGTGGAGGAGGCGAGATTGGACCGCCGGGTGTTCCTGGACGCCATGCAGAAGAACACGGATGCAATGCTCGCGGCCGTCAGCGTCCTCAAAACGATTGGCGACGTCATGCTGGCGAGGCGAGGGGGAGTCCCGGAACAGGGCAAAGGCTGAAGGGGGTGATCCACCGAGCCCCCACACCGAACTAGGAACACAGACCGACCCCCCCTGACCACAGTACTGCCACACAGGACAATGTGCCCCGGTGACACACCCGATAAGCGTGCATGTGCTGGCCGCAAGAAGGCTCGCATGGACCCGTAGTTTGCCCAGACACCACTTCTGCACACGCCCAGAAATGGTTCTGTAACGCTTTATGGTCGTCGAACGTTACTTTCTCCTTTTACAGCATAGCTAGTGTCGTCGCAGAGGGCTTGCGTGGGGTTCTGCGGGGAAGTTCCAGAGAACAAAAGTATGCAGAGAGCACCGTTGTTTGTTAATAAACACATAGCCACACCAGACCTCCTCCCCGATCCATGTCATCCATTGTTCATCCCCTCCCCTCAAAAGAACTACTGACAATATAAGCAATAAAAAACGATTTACAGCACAGAACCCCCCCAGAGAACCAGCTGCTCCAGTCCTAGGTGCCGCTTTACTCCGTCCGGGTCATGGCAAAACCTGGCAACCTCCCTTTTCGCGTTCCTTGTTGGTAGAACTCATCCTGCATTCCATGGATTTCACTGCTTGTTGGGGGGGGTAGGGGTAGGTATATGTGCTAGTGGTTATGCTTATAAGCCAAACGTCTTCAAAAACATTTCTTTTTTACTCGCGTGTCTCCATGCTCCGCTTATCCGGGGACGAGGTTGCCACCAGGACAGAGTGGTCACTGTCCTGGCCACTGGTTTCTTCCTGGCCCTGAGTGGGGAAGGCAGAGGGCACAGATAGTGGGGCTTCTGCTGCTGGAAGGTCCCCCCGCTGCCCTTGAAGGCCCCGAATGGGGAGAAGGCAGTGGTCAGTTTGTACAGCAGTGCACCATGGGAAGGAAGATCAGAGCAGGCGGTGCCTTCTGCAGCATTGGCTGGCTGTTTCATAAGCGTCAGTCTGTCGTTAGGGGAGGACTGCTGGTGCTGCCCTGCTACAGGGGAAGACGGGCCTTGGACAGGAGAAGGGGCCCTAGAGCCAACCTTTTTCCGCCTCCTCCTCCTCTGCTGGCACCCGGCGGGAAGTTGCTGTTGGGAGAATAAAAGAAAACGTCCTCGGTAACCCGGTGTTTAGAAAGTCAAGCTGAGCCACGTAGCAGACAGGGAAAGAAAAGAGAAAGGGGTTGGGATTGTGAGCCTTTACAGTATCATCAGCCTTTCTGACCCCATCACGGGTAAGGAGGCATTTACAGTGGGCGTGGCCAAGTGCCCCTGAGCTGGTGTTGCAGTTGGGGTACCAACTTCACTGAGGTTCCCCGGGCTGGGTGGGATGCCAAGTCTTGGTGGGAAAGAGAAGAGGACACAAGCCTGCCGACCAACGTATTTATTTGAGCCTTGCCATAATATTAAAAGAAGTTCAGAGCGTTCACCAAAAATGGCAGCATGCACGGTTAAGAGAGATCTCCTGACCACCACCCAAAGACCCCAAAAGGTGTGTTCGGGAGGTGGTGCTGAACAATGGAACCTTGACAATATTTATTCCCTCTTGCAAGAGAATAAAAGACATAACATCAAATGTCCGATGGGAATGTCATGAGCGGTAAGAGAGCCTTCCTCTTGATGGCACCATAAAAACATTAACTTTTCCTCCCGAAGGGCTATCGGTTAGGTCCAAGCCTCTGGCCAGAGCAGGTGAGGTATAGACAAAAATCTTTAGATGTTCGGCCTTGGGCCTTTGTGCATTTTGGCTAAAGGGATATGAGGTATGTGTGAGGAATGGCTCGTTCACAGCCACCCTGGGGAATTTCACATTACCCTTTTAAAGCCATTTTTAAGCCGTTATTGTACTGTCTTGGAGTAAACTGGTACAGGGCTGCCATTTCACACAGCCTTTCCCCTACCAGTAAGGAGCCGTCTCTGAAGCGGTTTGGCATTTCAGACTGCGCAGCTTTGTTTTCCCGTCCTTTTTCGCCCATGTGGGCGATCTCCATCTTTTTTTTACATTCATTTTAGAGTGCTATGGTGCTATAGCGCTATAACACAACACCAAAACAGCAAGCCCATTGGAATGCCTGGACTCCACTGGGATACATGACATGGCTACATCTGCCACCTGGAAACAAGTACCTCATTGGACTGCAGGCTTTGGCAGGAAATCAAAGCATCAGTGATTGGTGTGACATTAAAAAAAAAAGGACGGAGATCGCCCGCGTGGGTGAAAAAGGGCAGGGAAACGAAGCAGCGCAGGAGGAGGCACTACGGGGCATTTTACACAGCACCCCGTAGCGCTTCAGAAACGGTATAGAAAAGTGCAGACCGCTTGGAAGCAGTTTGCAGGTAAAACGGTTCAGCCACGTTTCCTGAGTGAGACAGAAGCGTTTCTGTCTGAAACTGAAAATATATTCCGGTAGGGAACCGTTACTAAAACAGTTCTGTCTGAAATGTCAGACCAGAAACCATTAGGGAACAGTTCCTGAACCGGAATATATCGGCTGTCTAAAATTCCGCCCCCGTGAGGTAAGTGGGGCTGAGAGATCTCTTTCAAGGACTGCTCTTGACAGAACAGCTCTGAAAGAACTTGTGGCTGACCCAAGGTCTTCCCAGATTAGAGTTCACGCTCCTAACCACTACATCAAACTGGCTCTCAGGGACTTGCTGTGGGGACTACCAACAGACAGCATTTATAGGAAGTCTATCCTAGACTGCAGGGTTGTAGCGTCATAAGCCAGAGGCTGTGCCACCACAATAGCTTCAAGCATGGTACAGTGTGCATAGCATTGGCTTCATGCTGGCGGTCTTCCCAGCATGGACATCCAGCAGACAACTCCCACAGGTGAAGGAGCAGGTTGAAGTGGGGGGGAGGAGTCACCCTGTCTCCCTCAGAATGTCCTGCCATGCCTCCAGGCAGCTATAAAGGCTGCCTTCAACTGCTTAAATTTGGAGTGGCACTGCTCCAGCGGCGCATTGATAGCCACCCACTTTGAGGTCCAAGGCCACCTCCACATGGATGCTCTGGTCCTCAAGGGTGCTGGCATGGCCCTTTCGGCTGATGAGTATTAGCATGTTCGACTTCCTCTCACTGCTAAAATGTCCCGTGTTGAGGCAGCGCATTTGCAGTGGAATAACGTCCCTGTATGTGACCAGGGTCTTCTACAGAAGTGGGCTGAGGATTCTGCATTTGAATTAGCCTATGGTATTCCCTTAACCCAGGACTGTTACTTTTTGATACAAGCCTGTGGAAACTCCCAAGTCATACCAGGAACTGCAACCGACGCACAGACCTGCATGGACCCTCGCATCGATATTGAAGTGTTGCGATAGTGTGCTGTATAAAGCAAATATTGAGGCTGATTTCTGTGTTCACAGACACATAAGACCATCATGTCTTCTCCTCATGGCCCGGGGGCACTGAAATGTCACATAGATCACCGCACAGGAGGAGCGTTTACCGTTCTGTGCAAGCTGCCTTGCAAGACAAAAGGGCCCAGCACTTGATTCCACAAATGTACAGCCCCCAGTGGGAAAAAAACCCACCACTGTAATGTTGGAGTCATCCCCCCCCCCTTCTCTCTCGCCCTTGTCCTCTCCTCCACACTACATCTTTTAAGAAATAAAAAGAAAGAGCTAGCAGTAGTGAGCTGGTGGAAACCCGACTAGCAGCACCTCCATTTGTACAAAGATTTAAAGTTTGTTCCAAATCATGGTCTGTTACCACTGCCCCCCTCTCTGTCTCCAGTTTGCTGTAGTGGTTAAGTGCGCGGACTCTAATCTGGGAGAATTGGGTTTGATTCCCCTCTCCACTTGCACCTGCTGGATGACCTTGGGCAAGCCGTAGTTCTGATAAGAACTGTTCTTGAAAAAGAGCAATTTCTGTCAGAGCTCTCTCAGCCCCACCTACCTCACAGGGTGTCTGTTGTGGGGAGGGAAAGGAGGTTTTAAGCCGCTCGTGACACTCCCTTGGGTAGTGAAGGGCGGGGTATAAATCCAATCTCCTCCTCCTCCTCCTTTCCCCCTCCCCGTGCCACTTCTTTTTTATTTTTCAAGTAAAAGAACTAGATATAGTGCAAGATGGGTAGCCCTGCTAGTCTGTCTGTAGCAGTAGGAAAGAGCAAGAATCCAGTAGGCCCTTAAACACTAACAAAAAGGGTAGGAGCTTTTGTGAGTAACTGTTTCTGAAGAAGTGAGCAAATTGATTGGGCAAATTGATTGAGAGGGCGGTGGCGGTACAGCTTCAGGGCTTTCTGGATGACGCTTCTGTCCTGGATCCACTTCAGTCCGGCTTTCGCCCTGGTCATGGGACGGAGACGGCGCTGGTTGCCCTTACTGACGATCTCCGGAGGCATCTGGATCAGGGTGGTGTGGCGGCACTGGTGTTGTTAGATCTGTCGGCTGCGTTCGATACGGTCGACCACCAGTTGCTGACCCACCGCCTTGCCGACGTGGGGATACAGGGGCTTGCCCTCCAATGGCTTGCCTCTTTTCTCCAAGGTCGGGGACAGAGAGTGGTAATAGGGGAGCAACAGTCCCAGAGACACCCGCTGGAATGCGGTGTGCCTCAGGGGGCAGTGCTTTCCCCGATGCTTTTTAACATCTATATGCGCCCTCTCGCCCAGATTGCCAGGAGGTATGGGCTGGGTTGTCATCAGTACGCAGATGACACCCAGCTCTATCTGATGTTGGGCGGCCGGGCGGCCTCTGACCCGGAAGATCTGTACCAGGGTTTACAAGCCGTGGCTGAGTGGCTCAGGCTGAGCCGGTTGAAGCTAAACCCGGCGAAGACGGAGGTCCTGGGCCTGAGTCGGAACGGTTTGGGTTTGGGACTCCCCCTCCCAACCCTCGATGGGGTGCCTCTGGTGCCTGCGTCGGAGGTTAGGAGTCTGGGAGTGCTCCTGGACTCCTCTTTAACGATGGAGGCCCAGGTAGCAGCCACTGCCAAGTCTGCATTTTACCATCTGAGACAGGCGCGGCAGGTGGCCCCCTTCCTCGACCGCGAAGACCTGGCCACAGTGATCCACGCGACGGTTACCTCAAGGCTAGACTACTGTAAGGCGCTGCACTGGCTGCCTATAGCATACCGAGTCCGCTTTAAAGTGCTGGTACTTACCTTTAAAGCCCTATATGGCCTGGGTCCGACCTACCTGAGGGACCGCCTTTCCCCGTACATACCCCCAAGAGCACTTCGGTCGGGGACCCAGAACCGATTAGTAGTTCCGGGCCCCCGAGAGGCAAAACTTGCTGCGACCAGGGCCAGATCTTTCTCAGTGGCGGCCCCTGCCTGGTGGAATGAGCTCCCGGAGGAGATCAGGGCCCTGCGGGACCTGATGCAGTTCCGCAGGGCCTGCAAGACGGAGCTCTTCCACCAGGCTTTCGCGTAGGGGCCGCCGCTACTGCCACCAACATCAAATGGTGGTAATGTCATTAAGATCAGGACTGCCCCTGGAAATGCAGAAGTATAAGATCTATGGGACACTGAGAACAACGGACGGGCCTGGACTATTCATTGAACGATGCTACC